GGTGAATGGTAAATGCATGCTAATAATTTAACATTTTAATTTTTCTATAGTTGAAACAACATTAAATAGCAAATTTCAAATACGCCATGACAGGCCGGGAGCAGGTGGCTCACTCCTGTAATCCCAGCACTTTGGGAGGCTGAGGTGGGGAGATCACTTGAGGTCAGGAGTTTGAGACCAGCCTGGCCAACATGGTGAAACCTCATCTCTACCAAAAATACAAAAATTGGCCGGGCATGGTGGCACACACTTGTAATCCCAGCTACTCTAGAGGCTGAGGCAAGAGAATCGCTTGAACCCGGGAGGCGGAGGTTACCGTGAGCCAAGATGACAGCACACCACTGCACTCCAGCCTGGGAGGCAACGGAGTGAGACTTGGTCTCACAAAACAAACACAAAACAGCAAAAAAGAACACTTGCCATGACAAGACAAAAGAGAGACCACAGAAGAAAGGAAAAAGCCTTATGACTTAATACCTTTACCAACACTGCTTTCCCGCTTTTTGAGGAACGGGCCCCTTTTTCACTTTGTACGGAGTCCCACAAATTCTGTAGTTGGCCTGGCTGTCATACGTTTTTGTGAGTGCTCAGGAAAGGATGGTGGCTGGAGGTGGAGCAGTGCAAGAAGAAACAGAGCAATAGGAAAGGGGGAAATTCCGCTTACAACAACAGCATGTGTAATATGATCCTGTTCATGTAAAGTGGGGTATTTTGAAGTACAGACATATATAACACTATATGATGAATATATGTAAACACACAGAAACATGGCATCAAATTCTTTTTTTTTTTTTTTTTTTAATTTGAGACACAGTGTCGCTCTGTCGCCCAGGCTGGAGTGTGGTGGCGCCATCTCGGCTCACTGCAACCTCCACCTCCTGGGTTCAAGCTATTCTTCTGCCTCAGCCTCCCAAGTAGCTGGGATTACAGGCTCCTGCCACCACACCTGGCTAATTTTTGTATCTATTAAGAGATGGGGTTTCACCATGTTGGCCAGGCTGGTCTCAAACCCCTGACCTCAAGTGATCCACCTGCCTCAGCTTCCCAAAGTGCTAGGATTACAGGCATGAGCCACCACGCCCAGCTGGCATCAAATTCTTAATCATCTCCAAACTGTAGACTTTTCAGTTGATTTTCACTTTTTATCATACACATTAAGTTCAAACAGTAGAGAAACAACACAACCATATTATGTATGTGATCAGCCTTTTTTTTTTTTTTTGAGACAGAGTCTCACTCTGTTGCCCAGGCTGGAGTGTAGTGGTGTAATCTTGGCTCACTGCAACCTCCGTCTCCCAGGATCAAGTGATTCTCCTGCCTCAGCCTCCCGAGTAACTGGCATTACAGATGTGTGCCACCACAACTGGCTCATTTTTGTATTTTTTAGTAGAGACAGGGTTTTGCCATGTTGGCCAGGCTGGTCTTGAACTCCTGACCTCAGATGATCCGCCTGCCTTGGCCTCCCAAAGTGCTGGGATTACAGGCGTAAGCCACGGCACCAGGCCATGATCAGCTTTTTTAAAACGCTGCATTTTCATCTGGGGGAAGGGAAGACATGCAGATGGAGTCAGACTTGGGCTCAGCTCTTGGCTCTGCTGTTTCCAGCCTGCAGGATTTAGGCCAAGTTAAGTAACTTCTCTCAGCCTCTGATTCTCCATCTGTAAAATGGGGATACTGACTGGTAACCATATCATCGGGCTGTTGTGAAGGGTCGTGTGCTTATGTAGGGCCTGCTACGGAGATCACTTGGCAGCGAGTCGCCATGCGGGGCTAGGGCTGGGGGGCTCATGCCTGTGCCAGAGGACCGCGCCCCCACAGGCCGTGCAGGAGGCCTCTAGGAAGGGATGCCAGAGGCAGAGGCGGCATTCACGGGCACACGGGCTGGGAGGCGCTTTGGGGACGCAGAGGCTCTGTAGGGTTCTTAGGTGTGAGCGTTAGCGCTGAACTACAGGCTCTGCATGGGTTTGGCCATGAACCCAAATCAGCGCTTATCCTCTGACCCTGCTTTCCCGTTTCCCTGCTGGTCTGTCTGACGTGTGTGTAACTGGTCAGCCTTTTGCGGGGCAGCTGCTGATCCACAGAGGACCTGGGAGTGGCTTTCTGGTCAGCACTGGTGCGTTCTGGACAAAAGCACAGCCCACTCCTGGAGGCCGACGAATAGAATAATGGCCTTCCCGGGAGCACCTGTGCCTCACACACAGACATGTGGAGAGAATGTTCGGGAACATCGGGGTGGAGGGTGGACATTCATAAACAAACATATACATACATGTCTACAGCCCGCTTTTATGCTCTTCTGTTTGGCGCGGCCTTTCCTTCATCCCAGTAAGGTTGGATCTGGGTACTTTTCCCCATAGACTGCTTGTGGTCCTTGCGGAGGGTGCCTCCTGTGTGCCGGGCCATAAATAGCAACAAGTAAGACGGAGTCCTTGCCTCGCGGTGTTCTCAGTCCACCAAGAGAAATTCCAGGGTGTGTTAGAAAACAGGCAGGCAAGAGGTGCGGACAGGACCAGGGGCTTCAGGAAAGACCCCCACGCAGCCTCCCAAGAGAAGAGCAGGCATTCAAGCTAGGGCGAGAAAAGGCATTTCAGGCAGAGATGGTCACATCAAAGGCCCTGGGTCAAGTGCAATCCTGGCCCACTCAGGAGCATAAGGGGAATCTGTGGGACTGAAGTACAGAGGGCTGGCCATGGCTGGGGAGGCTGCAGTGGCCTGGGAGGAGGGAGCAGGAGGAACAGCTTCTTACCGTGCCATGTAAAGGAGCCCTGCTAAGTGGTGCAGGGTTTTGCCAAAATAACTGGATCCCTCCTGTGGTCCTTGCTGAATGCAGTTTGGCTGACTCGAACATGGAGCCTTTACAGGGCTGAGCCACCTCCTGCAGACCCCAGCTAAGCAGACTGAGTGGTGAGGAGTGTAATAAGGTTGCCGCTGCAGGGACTTTGCAGGAGCGTTGAGGCAAACCTTCTCATAGCAAAAATGCAGTACAAAAGTGTGCCATTCCAGACATAAACTGGGTGCTACTGAGTCCTCAAGGAGCACTTTGAAATCCTCATCCTGGCTCTGCCCATAGGCAGGGGACTGGCCTCAGGGTAAACTCCTCTGAGGCATGGGGATGTCTGATTCATTCACTTCTACTTGACAATGTACTGCCTGGTTATGTGGGTATCCGATAAATGAGTGTGTGGGTGGATAGAGGGAGGGAGGGAAGGAGGGATGGACCAATGGACGGATGGACAGATGGATGGATGGATGGATGGATGGATGGATGGATGGATGGATGGATCGATGGATCGATGGATAGACAGATGGATGGACAGACAGACAGGAGAATAAGTGAATGAATGGATGCATAGGTGGATAGGCAGGTGGGCGGATGTGTGGGTAGATGCCAGTGTAGATGAATGGAAGACTGTGTAATTATTTTACAAGATTAAAAGATTATTTTGATGGCATGACACAGCACAGTGATACTCAGAGAAATGAAAGGTAGGACTTTTGTTTCTTACAGCTCCAAATGAGATGCTGTCAGGCTGGGCCGCACAAGATGTGCAGCTGGGGACAGGGGGTCCCAGCAAGCTGGAGCTATAGGTGGCAGCTGTGTGTGACACATGGGGCGATGTTAAGGTGGTTTCTTTGGCTGCCTATGGATTGGCTGATTTGAATAATTTTGTGAGTTCCAGATGATAGGAGCTGTCCATTATTATTTGGTACTTGGCTCCAAGGCAATCAGGGCAGGTGCCTAGTGGCCCAGAGTGTGAGAACCTGGTAAGAGAAAGGGCCAGAATGTGAACTTAATCAGCTGCTCACTAACTGTCTGGCCTCCAGCCAGGACCTCAAAATTGGGTTAAAGTAGACTTTTGAAAAAACTATATGACGGAGATGGACGGAGACGTGTGTAGATGGACAGATGTCTTCTGGAGATTTCTCTGTCAATGATATTTACAGAAGCGTCAACACTGGATTCAGATCCTTGAGGATTTTCAACTCATAGATGCAGAGCCCTACAATATCTAAGTTGGAAGAGACTTCAGAGGGTCTCTAGATGTTCATGCAGGTCTCAATATGTTGTGGATCTCACAGCTCTTCAATATTTTAGTGAAAGCTATAGATGAGGCTCCATAGGGGATAAAGCACAGACACACGTTTTCAGAGGGCCGGTGGACTCTGGGCAGCCTATTCACAGACCTCTGTCCCCAGCTGGGAAGTCAGGAAACTCCAGATTAAGGAGCCCCGATGTGGTTGAACAGGCATGTGCACAGACCAGTCAACCACACAGCCAAGCCAGGGAGGCCCTTCTTCACTCAAGGGCCTACAGCCAGTTCACAGCCAAGACAGAGCTAGTGCCCAGGCCACCCATAAACTTATCTGAGACTCTGTTTCCCTGTCTCCATGATGATGGGATCAGGCTGGATCGGATGGGCTCGAGGGGCATCCTCTGGCCCTCCTTTCTCTTCCCCAGATCCACTGGGCCCATTCTTATCTGTTCTCTTCTGAAGGAAAGGTTTTATGGCTTCAAAAAAAAAATGTTTTTGAAAGTCCCTGCCCTTTCCAGCTCCTACTGTCTCAGCCCTGGGAGTGTAAAGTGCTACAGAGTGTTAGTAAGTCTTTGAGCAAAACCGAGAAAGCCAATCTGAGCATTGACATGGAAGGAACCACCGCCATATATCTCCAAAGAAAGGGCCGCATGTCTCAGGGGAGCGCGAACACCCATCCCCAGGAAACAGGACAGCTTCTGCCACTGTCGCCCTTGGCAGCTGCACAAAGAAATCCCAGGACTCCCCCTGCCCTCCTGGCCACCCTCTGTTTACACCTTCCGAGTAAACGCCCACTGTTTACATCCAAAACTCAGACACAAAACAACCACCTTAGGAAAATAAACAGTGATAAGAAATAAACGTTACGTGAGGCGAATTTATTCACATGGGGCTCCACAGGCCACTTTGTGGTCAGCTGGGAGGGACGCTTTTGCCATACCACAACTCCAGTGGGGAGCCGGGCTACGCAAACGTGGAAATCTTCCAAGAGCCTTGCTGGGCCCCAGGGCTCAGAGGGTGGCAGAGCGGAGAGCAAAGGTGACCGCAGCCACCCTGGCCCCACAGGCAGCCTGGCTCGGGCTGGGCAGTAGAGCAGAGCTCGGCTGGAGGCGGAGGGGGAAGTGCCCAGGAGGCTGATGACATCACCACCCAGCCCTTGAAAGATGAGCTGTTCCCGCTGCCACTACAGCTCTGGCCTCTGGGCTCCAAGGAGGGGCGGAGACGGTGGGGACATCAGGCTGCCTCGAAGTACCCAGGGAGTGACTGAAGTGCCCATGCTGCTTGCTCCGGAGAAGGTGGGTGCCGGGCAGGGGCTGGTCCAGCCGCCTCACCTTTGCTGGGAGGACAAGCTGTCCCAGCCCAGAGGGAAGGAAGGCAGGCATCGGGGAGAAGTTTCCCTCTGGTCGTGGGGAGTTGGGAAAAGCTCCCTTCTTTCCGGAGGGGAGGTCTGACAGGCAATGGGAAGAAGGGTTCCCAGCAGGAGGAATCGCCCTGTGTGTCTGTTGTAGGTTTCTCTTCTCTGAATCAAGGTGACAGACAGGCTTGTGTTTGTCCAGTGTGTGAGGGATTTCGTGATTGGATTTTCACATATTTGGGTGTACACCTTGGAGTAAAGCAGCGAGGCGTGGTGCAGCAGGGACGGGTGCTGGGTGGAGGCGCCAGAACCTGGCTTTTCACTCACAGCCGTGCCACTCGTTGGCCCTGTGTGACCCTGGACAAGCTACTCAACCTCTCTGAGCCTCAGTTTCTCTGTCTGCAAAGCAGCCTGCTCGCTGGGTCCCTGGGGATGGCAGGGTTAAATCAGAAGCAGGCGGGAGGGGTTAGTGAATACTGGCTGATGTGCGTCCAGGAGGCACGTGGTGGTGACTATCTCAGAAGGGCTTAGCGACCCTCTTCCCACGGTCCTCGCTGACCGGAATGAGGGGGCAGGATGGTGCAGGGGTTCCGAGCACCAGCTTTGCATCCAGCCCAGGCTGGAGTTCCAGTTCTGCTCTCACCCTATGAGTGACGTTTTTGGGCGAGTTATTTTGTCGCCGTCTCCTGAGCTGTAAAGAAGACCTGGTAATTCCTCTTTGTGGAAAGATAGAGGTAGGCTCTTGCCTGTGGAGCACCATGGGTGTCATAGGCGCTAAATAAATGGCAGTCGTGATTGGAGTTGCTGAAGAGTAGGTCGCTTCCGCAGCCTGGGTGGAGGTGGACAGCAGGTGTTGCTGTTCCGGGCAGGTCAGAATGTGCCTCACTGAGTCACAGGCCGCCTGTGGCTCCCCAGCCTACAGGAAGTGGGAACTCTGGCACGGGTGTGGGGTGACGGGGGCTCCCCAGCCAACCCCACCCCTAATTCCATTTCTGAGTGGGAGAAGGGCTTAGGTGGCAGGGGGACTGGTGAGCGACCCCAGAGGACGTTGCTAACATCCCCCGCCCGAGGTTCTCTGGAGAAAAACCTCTGCTGTGTCCTTCGAGCCCTGGCAGCAGCAAGCAACATTCCACGGTTGTGAGCCCCATAAGCTTGGAGGAAGCTTTTGCTCTTTCCCCTGCCTGGGGAAAGACAGCCAGGAGTAGGCGTCTTTGGATGAAAAAGAGGAAGCGTGTGTGCTGTCCCCACAGGCAGGAGCCCAGGCCTCATCCCAGCTCTCCCTGCAACCCTGCACTCCAAGCCTCTCTCTGCACAGAGGAAACTGAGTCTCAGAGCGGGGACACGACCTCAGGCAGCCCTCCACTCAGTGTCCCGGGAAATCCCTCAACCTCTTTGGGGTTCAGTCTCTTTGGGATTCCCTCCCTTGCAAACAGGAAGAGGTTCCCATGGCTGGGCCTGCACAGTGGGTCTGAGGACTTTGAATGTGGTCGTTGCCCGCCAGTGGGATCCAACATGGAACTATTAGGTTGGTGCAAAAGTCATTGCGGTTCTTGCCATTGGAAGTAACGCCAAAAATCGCAATGACTTTTGCACCAGCCTAATAACTGCGCCACGTGGTCTCTGCTAATACAGTGACTGACTCAGTAACAAGTTCGAAGGCTCCAGGGGTAACATTAGGGCAGCCCCCTCACCTGTGCTGCTTGCGGTCAGGGAGGGGCCCACCTGGGCGGAGCGGGGGGAGACCAGCAGACTTGCCCGATGTCGTAGCCTATTTGTGCTGCTATAAGAAATACTTTAGACCGGGTAATTTATTGAAAAACAGACATTTACTGCTCACAGTGCTGGAGGCTGGGGAGCCCGAGATCAAGGTACTGGCAGATTGGGTGTCTGGTGAGGACCTAGTCCTCATAGCTGGCGTCTTCTATGCATCCTCATACGGTAGAAGGGTGAACACGCTCTCCCAGGCCTCTTTTAAACAGCACCAGTTCCATTCACGAGGAGGGGGACCTCATGATCTGATGACCCCCCAGAAGCCTCACCTCTTAATATCACCACCTTGGGGATTAAGTCTCAACAGGTGAATTTTGGAGGGACACAGGCATTCAGATCATAGCACCAGGAGACTCTGGTTTTCAGAATGAAAGCAGGGGCCTCGTCTGTCCTCTCAAGCTGCCTCTTCTGCACTCAAAATGATGCCTAGCCCAACATGGATCAGTGTCTGCTGAAATGCTGAATGGTTAAATGAATAAATAAATATTGCTCATATAGCAGGCCATAAAAAAGCACACAGAACCTATCACTAAGTGAACGAAGCCACTCTGAAAAGGCATATGCTGTATAATGTCAACTATATGTGACATTCTGGAAAAAGGCAAAACTATGAAGACAGTAAAAGATAAAAAAATCAATGGTTGCCAGGAATTAGAGGGAGGGAGGAGAGAACCAGAGGAGAAAACAAAGGACTTTTAGGGCAGTGAAACTTTTGTATGATACTATAATGGTAGATACATGTCATTATGCATTTGTCCAAACCCACAGAATGTCCATCACCAAGAGCGAACCCTGATGAAAACTATGGACTTTGGGTGATGATGATGTGTCAATGCAGGTTCATCAATTACAACAAATTGACTGCTCTTGTAGGGGATGTGAGTAACGGGGGAGGCTATGCATGTGTGGGTGCAGGGGATATACGGTAAGTCTCCGTACTTTCTGCTCAATTTTGCTGTGAATCTAAAACTGCTCTTAAAAAAAGAAAAAGCCACACAGAGCAGGTCTGCATGTTGCTTTGAGGATTCAGAAGGCACTTAGGACAATTACAGTACCTCAGGGTCATGAGGCAAACAATCAGACCTGCCAAGACTTAAGGCCCCAAATGCATCACTTCTGACATCCACTCGGTCCCGGAATCCCCTGCCCCGTGACTATCCATCTTAGTGTGCATGCCTCCAAGAATGGGGAGCTCACTACTTTGCAAGGCAGCCCATTCCATCTCAGGAGAGTTCTACTATTTAAAAGCTCTTCCTCCAACTATCACCCACTGAGCAATGGGCCCACTTTCATTTCCTTGGGGTTTATACCATTCTAGTCCTATTGCTTCTCTCTGAGCTAAATATCCACAGCTACTGAATCTGCCCTCCATGAAGAGTGTTAAATCCTCCATTCCTCCTCTGAGTTCCTCTGGTTTTCCTGGGGACCCAAGGCTCTGCTTCCCCAAAGCACCCACTCCAGGGTTTCTTTCTAGAACAAACCTAAGGCGTGAAGTATTTCTTTGACTCTTTCATCACTGATGGTTCTGGAGGATTCTGGAGGCTAGAAATGTGTACCCCCCCTCCCATACATTCCAAAAAAGTCATCACAGCATAAAGCAGGGTGGAACAAACACCGCTCTGGATTTGAATTCCAACCCTGTCACTTACCTACTAGGAAAGTTTTCTGAGCCTCAGTTTCTTCTCCTGTACAATGGGGATCGTCATTCCTGTTTTTGAGGACCACTGGGAGGCTGACCTCTGATTGTGCTGATGTAGTGAAAGCGGGTGTCAGGCACACTGCAGGAGCTCAGGTACCAGACGGACGGTCTACAGAGGCAGGAGTGAGGGTCTGGGACGGTCACAGAGATTGCATTTGCCTTGCAGTAAGGCCACAGCCGCTCGAGGGTGTCCAGAAAAAAGCCCTCTCTGACACGCACACGCTCCCGTGTCCAGGCAGTGAGCCTGCGGGCACTGACAGCAAGAGTCCTTCTCATGCTTCTCTTCAGGGCTCAAACTTTAGATTTACTGCGGCCTGTCCCATCCCATTCACTGCCAACCCCTCTGACCCTCTCTGATCTGTGCCACCGGTGAAGGGCAGTGGAGGGAGCAGGGGGCACAGAGAAGTGGCCCAGCTGAGCGACATCTGGAAATGAGCAGTGCCTGCGGGGACGTCCGTGGGGTGTTGTGACCTGCACAGTGCCAGGCTCCAGCACAGCCCTGTTGCTTCCGTAGTTGCTATCATGGTCATGAGGTTGCTTCTCCTCTTCCCTGCGGGTTTCCTAAGGGGTCACACTCCAGTGGCGGGGTGGTCTGCTGGAGAAAGACTAAGTTTTATTGTACATTAGAATCACCTGCAGGCTGGTCACCCACGCAGGTGCCAGGGCCCTGCTCTGGGGACTGTGATTTGAGGTCTGGGTACTATTCACCGAAATGACAGACTCTGGCAAGTCTCAGTCAATCGCGGTTTATTGAGTTGATAAGCTTCAATTGACGTTTATCGAGAGTTTGAGGGTGCACCTGGGAAAAACACAAACCACAGAAAATATGTGTGGCCTATGCTCTCCGAAGAGGTTTCCCTCAGGCTTAGTATTGTAAATCAAAGAGAAACTGACTGAGGCAGGTCTCAATTATTTTTGAAGTTTATTTTGCCAAGGTTAAGGATGCACCCAGGAAAGAGGGACACAAAATCACAGGAAACATCTCTGGCCCATGATTCTTTCAAAGAAGGGGCTTCACTATTTAAAGGGAAAAGAGTAGGCGGTAGAGGAAAGAGGGAGGAAAAAGGGGGGAAAGGTAGCATAAAGAAGCAAGCAGTAGCACCCCTTTGAACCTTTTCATTCACTTCACTGAATGCACATTTTTCAAGTGAAAGAAGCAGGTGGAGGGATCATCAATTCAGCATTCACCTGGTGCTCAGTCAATCTGCATTTTTATATAATAATCATAGGGCTGGGCACCGTAGCTCATGCCTGTAATCCCAGTAGTTTAGGAGGCCAAGGTGGGTGGATCACCTGAGGTCAAGAATTCAAGACCAGCCTGTCCAACATGGTGAAACCCTGTCTCTACTAAAAATACAAAAATTAGCCAGGCATGAGAAGCTGAGGCAGGAGAAGCATTTGAACCCAGGAGGCAGAGGTTGCAGGGAGCTGAGATCGCACCGCTGCACTCCAGCCTGGGCGAGAGAGCAAGA